ATGAAGACGCTGTGTTTGCCCGTGTTGCTGGTGGCTCTAGTTGTTTTACGTTCTGAATCACATCCAAGCCATGGACGCCATGAAAAAAGCCGTGAAAATTTGAAAAAAAGGTTGCAAGAAGCCGGACTAGTTAATTTGACCATTCATCAGGAAAAGGTAACAGATGGGTCTTTTGTATAGTACGCTTCATCAACACTATTACACCTCCAGATCAAGGCTAACTTCATTCCAAAAATAACTATATTGACACTTTTACCAAACAATTACTTCTATATTCTATAAATTTACCTTCTGTAATAATGTAAACAATTTGCAAATCCACGGAAATGCTTAACAATGTGTAACATTAACACCGCTAAAGGAAAAATATTAGTACTGCAGTCAATTGCTATCCTTATTGAAGTAACTAACAATTATTTAACTCCTTACAATCGTCTCACTTTAATTTCTCTGCCAGGGTCTAGAGAGAACTCTCACAAAAAGAGTATTCTCTGAAAAAGGTCAAATCTTGGAGTGCAGCTACTTTTTTTAACCTCCGCCTTCTCTGAATAAACCTCCGTTTTACTTATTCAGAACTTTAGATAGGTAAACGGGATTAGGGAAAAGGAATCGAGAAAATCAGTTCTGGAAATTAGCTTACCAATTAATGGGATTAGGTTAGGCAGTTTCTTGGGCGATTTCTTATAATTTTAAGAACCAACAGAAGAATCCAGGAATGACGTAAACATATGTTTTATGGCGATAAAACTCGATTTGTTGGAGCTCCCTTTTCAATAAAAAATGAGATTCGAGTAGCTAAAAATTGTAATAAACCCCTTTCGCCTTACAACTTGGGCCGGAATAAGAATTATTCTGAAGCGAGCATGAGAATCTGTCTTGGGAGAGAAAGGATTAAGTTAAGAAATAAAGACCGAAAATTGCCCGTCCGCCGTCTTCTGTTCAGTGTGGCTTTCTTTTTTTCTTTCTTTCTCTCTCCCTCGCTCTTGCTTGCCCCTTTCTTATGAACTTTCTTTTTTACCTTGTTTTCATTCATTTTCTCTTTTTTTCCAGGTCGGACAAAAGCGTTTTATTGGCGGAATCATGGCAGCCTTCACTCTTTTTAACAATCTTGCCGACTTTATGGGGAGGGTCAACAACGTAGTAAGCTGGTTTGACAACATCGACCGCTTTATGGGATCAGGAGGAACACAAAGTGAAAGTAAAATTAATGTCGAAGAGATCAATGAGTTGAAGACAAGGTTGGATGGTTTAGCGACTGACGTGGAGAGTAAGATTGAACGCAGAATGTTTATGTTTACAATGTATAACGGATTCGCTTCTCTTAGAGAAAAATTGGAGGAAATGAAGCATTTATCATTTTATTTTTGGTATACAATGCCTGAATTTTGTTGTCGGTCGCAGTTTACTTTACGGACCGAACCTCCCTTTCGGTAGGTGGGATATTGGTAGAAGGATATATAAAAACGTTTTATTCTAGCATCGTTTCGGGTCGGTAATTGATGATGGTTAAGTTTCGCCATTTTCCCTCTAATGGGTAGACATAACATGCAGCTAGGTTTACTGTAAGATGATTGTTTCTTGACCTGTTAAGGACCACTAAACGTTTTAAAGGGCGACCACCTAACTACACTGTCGTTTTTAATACTGTAACCACAGAAAGATATTTCACTGATGACTATATATACTCAATGTAGTCAATTTGTTATATCATTTGCTGAACTTTTCCATAGACGGGTTCAAAAGCCTTCTTGCTGGAGGTGAATACACAGATGTGTTGAATATTGTGGCCGGAGACGTAAGGATTTTACAGCTTATTGATGGTTATCAAAAGGAATACTTAGAAGAGGTGAAGCGTTACAAAGAACGACCTGCGGGGGAGAGAAATAGCGACGAAATGGCTGCAAGCGAAAACAGCTGGTTCGAGAGTGTGAGTTTGTTTCTTATTCTGACTATTCAGAGGAAAACCCCTATTTCGTCTAACATATACATCCAAGCCCTCTATATTTCCCATAATTCGCATATAAATCTCCTATTGGATTACTGGGGGTAACGCAAGGTATAAAAATCGCTTACCATTCAATGAGTAATATTCAATAAATGAGCAGGAGTGTTTTATCAAGTTTAAAACACGAGGCGCAGCGGAGTGCTTTAGGACTTGATAAAACACGAATTGCGAATTTATTGAACGGCTTCAAAAGCTTTACCGTACATCTATCCATTCTTACACTAATTTTCTAGACTCTGGGTTATTTTGGTCTAGAAAATCGGACGTAAAATTTAGCCGCGTCTTTATCAGATATAAGGACACTCATTAAACATTAATTTCGTTTGTTTTTCCATCCTGAGTTATTAATGAGTTTTTGAAAAAAAATTAAGGAATTAAGATATGGTAGACGAGTAAGCAATACATAAACAAGAGTGTCAGAGATGCGCGATATCCCATACCGGAGTTTATGATGAAATGTACCACGCCAAACTTTAGAGTTTAGTGTTGGGGCTCCAGGTTGGTGTCTCTCAATGGTCAATAGAAACATCTGTTATTCACTTTGGCCGGCTTTCTCAAAACCATTCTCTTTTCTGCTGAACCTGCAAACATTCACATAAACACCTATCTTGACTATTACCTGTTCGGGGCTCGATACATGCCGCATGAGCGCTCGCCTCCCACCAATGTGGCCCGGGTTCGAATCCTGGCGTCGACGCCATATGTGGGTTGAGTTTGTTGTTGGTTCTCTCCCTTGCTCCGAGAGGTTTTTCTCCGGGTACCCGGTTTTCCCCTCTCCTTAAAAACCAACACTTTCAAATTCCAATTCGATCTGGAACGCACGGACACGTTTCAACGAGTTCTTATGAACTCCTTACAATTTACAATTTTTTTTTTTTGAATTAACGTTTCATGTTATATTCGATCGATTACTCTCAGACGCTCAATCGCTCCTTTAGCTGCAGCCATCTTTATGCCACACACTGAGAAACAAATCTGAAATTCAATCTGATGTCAGGCAAAAACCGATTTGGGTATCATATCCTATACTTAGTGCTTGCAGATGACGAGACAATATAAAAGGTGGAATCCTAACTCGCCGTTGGATTATTAAAGACTTCAATATTCTTAAATAATGTGTTGTTAAATATACGTAACAGGGTAGATTATAATAGAACATTTTAATCGATCGTTGTTGTTGGAAAAAAAACAAAGACAACTATATGGTTGTAAGATCTCCCGATAACCAAGTCAACGTAAACGTTTATAACATTATTCATCGACGAACATTTAATTAAACAACTGGGGTCTCCAGATACAACATTGGGATAATAAACAGACTAAGGTATTATCTAGATTAATAAAAAGATGAAAAAATTGCATTACACTTTAATCCTTCCATACCTAAATTATGGCATTCTTAGCTGGGGTAGTACGTATAACCCCAGAGTGAGTGAGCTCCGTGTGCAGCAAAATAAATGCATACGTAACATTTTCTATGCCCACTGACTGATTCCAACTTACCTGGAATCCTAAACTTTGATAATATCCCGAAATTCAGCAGTATTTGCCCATAAACTTTTACATAATAAGAAAAGCATTCCAGTTGTATTCTCTGACTTCATAGCTCCGGCAACAATAACTCAGGCTTCGAACCCCCCAGGTGATGTTTCAGCTAAGACAACTATAGCTTTTCGGCAACGTGGCGACGGCTTGACTCTCCCGGACACACCAGTGTCCCACTGGTTACCTTCGGCTTTTAGACAAGTTTGTGGATTCATCCAGACAGTAGCCATTAGGCTGGCATCAAAAGTAGTAGATATCCAGCTTTTATTAGGGTGCTCTGTAACACAAGGATCATTACGTGGCCATCCCACCAACGTTTTGCATAGTTTGATTCAGTTGAAAAGATGAAATATTTAGCCCTTTGTGTGCGGCATAGATAGATAGCCTATACGAAATACCAAGCCCATTGTTGATGTTGTTATTCATTTATCCAAAATCTACAAATTGACAAACATACATCAACGAAACTAACACTATACATTAAATAAAAAAAGAAAAGGCCACACCCATTTTATGTCAATCGTAATTGTTCACTCTTTGAAGCAATGATGCTTTTTTATACAAGTATCTTTTCTTTCAGCAGCAATTCTGCCAAAATCATTTAAGCCTTGGAATCAATTATCAAATTTGCGTGTTAGAGAACGTAGGTATTTATTCATTTATTATCTTTGGTTGTCAGATTGAGGCCAGAGACGACTCTCTTGAGGACGCTCTAGGCAGTCTACGTTTGCAAGTTTGCGGAAAACCTTTGCTGACCCAAACAAGTTTGTACGAAGCTTATGCCTGGAAACACGGACAGCAATCTACAGCTGAGGGCAGCGTGGAAAACCTGATGGAATTTATATCTAGGGTTCGCCTTTTAGAGGCCAATGGGTATGCCGTGCGAAAAAATTTTGTTATGAAAAAGTACAAGGACAACACGGCGCGGAATAACACAGAAGTAAGAAGAATTAACACTCGGATGGAACAGACTAAGGCATGTGAAGACCCTGCCATTGCCAGGGCCATGTCGAGAATGGTTGATCATCAAGGTTGGTGGGTTTTGAAAAATGTCTCCTTGGAATACGGAAAAAAGAAATATTTTCTTATTCTGATAAAGGCTTCTATGAGTATCTGAAGCAGTAAAGTTAAGCCAATTATATCGTTCCTTAATAGCTTAATTCAGGCACAGAGGAGGCTAAATAAGGCGCGATCAAACCACGAAATTTGCCTCAATAATTAAACCTATTTCTATCACTAAGTTGCGCGGAAAATTCTATCACAGAGCTTAGTCAAAAAATGTCTAAAAATTATTTCATGATACAATATGCATTCGTCAGCCATCAATCTCAATCAGAAAATATTAAAATTAAAGTTCATCGTAGTTGTGATCGTTACCTAAGCTGGGGCCAGTTTCTCNTGTCAATCGTAATTGTTCACTCTTTGAAGCAATGATGCTTTTTTATACAAGTATCTTTTCTTTCAGCAGCAATTCTGCCAAAACCATTTAAGCCTGAGGATCTTGGAATCAATTATCAAATTTGCGTGTTAGAGAACGTAGGTATTTATTCATTTATTATCTTTGGTTGTCAGATTGAGGCCAGAGACGACTCTCTTGAGGACGCTCTAGGCAGTCTACGTTTGCAAGTTTGCGGAAAACCTTTGCTGACCCAAACAAGTTTGTACGAAGCTTATGCCTGGAAACACGGACAGCAATCTACAGCTGAGGGCAGCGTGGAAAACCTGATGGAATTTATATCTAGGGTTCGCCTTTTAGAGGCCAATGGGTATGCCGTGCGAAAAAATTTTGTTATGAAAAAGTACAAGGACAACACGGCGCGGAATAACACAGAAGTAAGAAGAATTAACACTCGGATGGAACAGACTAAGGCATGTGAAGACCCTGCCATTGCCAGGGCCATGTCGAGAATGGTTGATCATCAAGGTTGGTGGGTTTTGAAAAATGTCTCCTTGGAATACGGAAAAAAGAAATATTTTCTTATTCTGATAAAGGCTTCTATGAGTATCTGAAGCAGTAAAGTTAAGCCAATTATATCGTTCCTTAATAGCTTAATTCAGGCACAGAGGAGGCTAAATAAGGCGCGATCAAACCACGAAATTTGCCTCAATAATTAAACCTATTTCTATCACTAAGTTGCGCGGAAAATTCTATCACAGAGCTTAGTCAAAAAATGTCTAAAAATTATTTCATGATACAATATGCATTCGTCAGCCATCAATCTCAATCAGAAAATATTAAAATTAAAGTTCATCGTAGTTGTGATCGTTGCCTAAGCTGGGGCCAGTTTCTCGAAAGCCCCGGAAACTTTTCGGGCCTGTAAAGCTATTTTTAGTTCATCTGTACCTAAAAACGGAGAAGTGTATACGCCTGAAACTTCTTGTTTGAAGGGAACCTCTCTTCATATTAAGAATATGTGAATAAAACAGCTCTGTAATCGTAAGGTTCGAGGTTTGCTATTTTGCCGAAAAGTTTCCGGGGCTTTCGAGAAACGGACCCCAGTATAACGAAAGGAAATCTTGAAAAAATCTAGGCTTGAACAGAATTCGAACCCATGACCTCTGCGATCATCTACGGGTTCATTACGAACTCACAAAAGGACCGACGAAGTCCCAGTTGGCTTGATAACTCAATTAGCAGAGAACTGCACCGGTATCGCAGGGGTCATGGTTCGACTCCCGTTCAAGCCTGGATTTTTTCCCGGCTCTCCGTAGGTTACTGCTTAAGAAGCGTTCATAACATCGACTTTAATCTTTACATGCTTCTGCCCGCAGTTCAACTACGTGTCTTTTATATATTCTCTAGTACTCAATCAGAAAAGTTATCATTCTTTTAGAAAAGTGTTGTCGCGATTTTGATGGCTTTGTTCCTACTTATTTGGAAGTAGTAACGGAATTTCGAGTAACAAATCCCAGAAATAAAAGGACGATTGTTGACGATTGGAAAAGGGTTTAAACGGAAAATTACAGTGATGCAGCATATTCACTCTCATGATCACTGTTGATCTGTGTCCCATATACGCTACTTCACCCATACTTTTATAGAGTTTTCACTCACGTGATCAATGAGCATGTTTTTCAACCAAACCAAAAGAAAACATATGCATAAGAATACAGTTCAATTCCCGGAGGATTAGTTTAGGACACCCACATGGCTGCCGTTCCTTTGTTTAGGGACACCAACATGCCCGCCCTGACGTCACTCTATGGAGTGTTTTCGCCTGACGTAACGGCGACCATGTTGGTCTAGAGAACAACAGCGAAAGGGTCTTTTGAGAACTTGACTCTATTATTATGCAAAACGAATTCGATATTTTGCTGTTGTTTTGTATACCAACACGGCCGTCTCATCACGTGTGTGAAAACACTCTATTGTTTGTTTGTTTTTTCGTGACAGTTTGTTTAAACTTAGCCTTTAAATCGTTGTTATCACTTTCCTAGGTATACCTATTTTTGGGAGAATTCGCTGGTCACATTCACATCGAAACAGATCAACTGGAGAGTCTTACGACAGGTTTGTTAGGATATACAGCGTTTTATGAAGTTTTAAAAATGTCCTTGTTTGCTTTATTTTAATTACTTCTTGGTTTGAATGGGATCATACTCTGTATTTGGTGAGTATCCTACCCAGATTTTAGTACGATGTATTGGGCCACTTTTTTCCAGTTTTTTGATAATTGTTTGGGGTGATTTTGGCTTTAAAAAAGCAACTGATTATATCAAAAACTATTTAATAAAGTAAAAATGTTACTGAAAAGAAAATGATGGAGACAGTAATCGCAAAAGAAGATTACAACACAAGTGATATGATATTCGATGAAATTCAAACATAAAAGGTTTCAAACTCAATGTTTAAAGATAAATGAGAGAATTAATAGTTACACAAGGGATTCGCAGGAAGGAAAAACTAAATTGCTTCTTGCAAAAGATGTATTTTCATATAGAATATCAGAAAACATAAAAATCTAGATACGAAAGAGATAAACGGTTATGTCCTTCATTATGCTTACCACTAGACGGTGAATTTGGAAAGATGCTTAACAAAATTGTAATATAATGCATAAAACATTTAGTTTCCATTGGCGGACTAAAAAGCGATTAAAATTGAAAAAAAAAGAGGATTTTTATTACAAGATGAAAAAAAAAAAACTGAAAAAAACAGGTAAAATGGTAAAAAACAAAAACATGCCAGGATCCCATGAACATGCTAAATAAATGACTGCAAGTGAAATTAAGAACATGTCTAATAATGGCAGTATTAAACAAGTATGAAATATATAAATCAATTATTCGAACTCTGTTAGAACACGCAGTGCCTACTTTGCAGAATATTAACATGTATATTGGCCCAACCATTAGAAGGTGTGCAGAAAAGAGTCATGAGTATTTTATATCCTATGCATCGCTGTCAACTGAACAGACCTTGGCTGTCGCCATATCTACCGACTACATAGAAAAGTTAAAATGCCTGGAACATCCATTAACTTTTCTTTTACCTAGAAAAGAACCGATAGTTCCTAATTATAATCTAAGATCTAGGAGTAATTTTAGAAGATTCCGTTAATGAGACCGGCAGAAGTGTATAGAACCCAGCGCTCGCAGGAGTTTATTACATTAAAATTTTAATTTCACATTGGCGTAGCAAAGATTATATTTTACTTACTCATTCAGTATTTATTGTAATTAGTGAATTTATCTATTACTAGTTATAGTACTTCTATATAATATAGCTTAAATGCAGCTTGTATTGTACTCTGTAATTCAGCCTTATAGGCTGCAATGATTGTGACGTGAGTTTCAATAAACAGTCTGTCTTCTTCTTCTTCATCATATAAGTTACCTTTTGTCTTACCCTCCCATTCCATTCCTTCAAAACAGGTGTCTGACTTACGAGACTTCATCTGGGGAGGCAGAGCCTGAAGCACGATCTTGTTCAAGTAACGCGCAAAACCAACAATGGAAACTCAAAGCTGATAACACACTGCGGCCAAGGAATGACGAAAGCAAATGCCTTTTCCTGATCGAACCGGAGGAGACTCGTGGAGCATCATTCGACGACTATGGCTATAAGGTCCTGCCCTGTAGCTCAAGCTACAACAACAAGAAGTTCACATTCGAATACTTGAGCCATCAGATACCAGGCGAGAACAAGTTACACACATTTTTCAAACTTAAAGCGAAAAATGACAATTTTGATCGCGAGGGATGGCAAGGGCAAGACATCTGTTTGGCTTTCAGGGCATGGGGGGGATATGTGGGAACCGCGTTTGAGCGTTGGGTTCCACAACCGTTTCGATGTACCTGTCCAAGAATTATAAATGAGCTGCATTGGTGTATTGGGGAGAGTCCTCCATGGCCTTCTGATAACGAGTACCCCTGGTTCAAATTTGAACCAGTTGAATAAAAAGGAAATAAATTGGCGCAGAGGTAGAATGGTTTTCACTGAGTCGCAATTTCGTAATTACGCAATTACGTTTCGATGAGCCCTTAACTAGTAAAAAATCAAAATCACCGAAGGTAAATAAATGAGTGAAAAGAGTGTTTATTAGAATGGCAAAAGAGAACAGAAGAATGTTGCTTAAATATGTCTTAAGTGAAATAAAATTGCTCTGAAAAGCCTTGTGTGGACTTTTTTGCGCTACTAACTTTGAAACCTTGATCGAATTGTGGAATGATGAGAAATAATAATCACATTTTATTTGCAAAGCGACTGCGTGGATACCCTGGGTGCCAGAGACTTTTCATGCCCGGTTTCCGGTTTCGGTTTCGTCTTCGGGCCGAAGACGTGTCGGCCTGCGGCCGACGAAGCTCCTCGTCACACGCGAGAAAAAATCTCTGGTACCCAGGGTACTGCGTGGATTACTATCGATATAAATTAACAGTAACACATTCATTGATTAATGTTGCTGCAGTCGCGTTCTTCGGATGAGTGGGAAATTGGACAGTAAAATAGCCATCAGTAGGAGTGATTTGTTTAATGAGGACAA